ATGTTTAAAGGACGCAGTATTTCCGGAACATTTTCAAAAGTTCAGTTGAAAAAGATCTATGTTTTTTACAATATTTTAAGTTTTGAACGCCCCCTATATAAGGGGAAATTGTCCAATTTTAATAAAAAGTATGTCAAATGAAAGATGTACTTATAATGTATTTAGAAAAAAAAAATTTGTGCTGATATATACATTTTTCAAAAAGTTATAGCATTTTTAAGTTGAAAATTTAAAATCGAAAATCGAAAATTTTAACACAAAAATAGTGTTTTTTTAACTACGGCAGCCGTTTAAATGTAGAAAAAAAAGTGTCGGGACAAATTTTTTTTTTTCATTTTGTAGTACATAAAATAAGCTTTAATTTGATATATGTTTAAAGGACGCAGTATTTCCGGAACATTTTCAAAAATTAAGTTGAAAAAGTTAATTTTTGTAAAAAAGTTGCTATTTTAAATCCCCCCCAATGAGCAGGTTAAGTGATAGATTTTCAAAAAAATGATATCAAATGAAAGGTAAATATCTAAGGTTTTAGTATAAAAAAAAATTATGTTGATTTGTTGATTTTTCAAAAAGTTATGGAAGTTTTAAGAAAAAAAAGTGAAAAAATTTCGAAAATTAGCGATTTTTAAATTTGTAATTTTTTTGGATATTTCCCCCATTTGCGGGGAACGAGGGAATTTTTTTCAATTTTTAAGGGTAATGTCTTCAACTAGATACGATTTGTGATCTTTTGACGTATTTTTGAAAGAAATCGGTCCAGTGAGAGCTGAGAAAAAGTGGCAACAGACATAAAAAAAAAAAAAAAAAACACATCATAGTAAAATTAATACCTTCTCCGCTTCGCATCGAAGCTAAAAAACTACTTACTATTTATTTATGAAAAAATACCACTTTTCTATAATTATATTTTTAATATAATACCTCAATAAGTTATATCAAATAGTAAATTATTTAATATGTATTCATATATTACAATTATAAATCATAAATTATGTAATCAAAATATAAATAAGGAAATAGGAGATCATTTGCTCTTGGAATAATCCATTAAATTTTTAAAAATTAAACACTATCTACAGATTTGCATCGAAGCGTTTTT